AAATTACTGTACACAAATCAGTAGCTCTTCTATACACCAACAGTGACCAAGCTGTGAATCAAATCAACAACACAATCCCTTTTACAATAGCTGCAATAAAATAAAATAAAATACTTAGGAATATACTGAATCAAAGAGGTGAAAGACCTCTAAAAGGAAAACTGTAAAACACTGCTGAAGGAAATCATAGACAACACAAATGGAAACACATCTCAAGCTCATTGATAGGTTAAACTAATAATGTGAAAATGAGTGTATTGCAAAAAGCAATCTACAAATTCAATGTAATTACTATCAAAATACCACCATCATTCTTCACAGAACTACAAAAAACAATCCTAAAATCCATATGGGCCCAAAAAAGAGCCCTCACAGACAATGCCAGACTAAGCAAAAATAACAAATCTGGTGGCATCACATTACCTAATTTCAAACTATACTACAAGGCCATAATCACCAAAACAGCATGTGACTGCTATAAAAATAGGCACATAGACCAATGGAACAGAATAGAGAACCCAGAAATAAACCCAAATATTTACAGCCAACTGATCTTCACAAAGCAAACCAACATATAAGTGGGGAAAGGACATCCTTTTCAACAAATGGAGCTGGGATAATTGGCAAGCCACATGTAGGAAAATGAAACTGAATTCTGATCTCTCACCTTATACTAATATCAGCTCAAAATGGATCAAGGACTTAAATCTAAGACCTGAAACTATATAAATTCTAGAATATAACATTGGATAAACCCTCCTAGATATTGATGTAGGCAAGGATTTCATGACCAAAAACCCAAAAGCAAATGCAATAAAAACAAAAATAAATATGTGGGACTTAATTAGATCTTTGCATGGCAAAAGACTCTTTTTACAGTGGAATAATCGCAAATACTCGAAAAGCCTCAAAAAAGCACTTACCATGGGAATTTTTTTCCTCATATTAACATAGCTACATTTCTCAATGTAATATCCAGTTATTTCTACTAGTAAATAAATCAAATATCTTCCTTCAAATAATGACAGACATTATGTCTAAACATTAATTCATTCACAAATTATTTCATTAAGCAAATATTCAACTTCTACCATGTAACAAGAACCATTTTTGAATAAAACAAAAATGGTTTCTAAACCATTGGAGCTTGCTCTTTAATAAAGCATTTCTCTATTTATTACAAGTAATTTTCTTTGAGCATGGTTTTTAGAATGTTAGCCTACTTTCCATACTTAGTTTTGATTAATTTCAGCTTTTCAATGTTCCTCTCAGAATAAATAAAATTAAGTCTAATCAAATCTCTAACTTTATTACATTATTCTGTATTATTATATTATTTATGTAAATATGACATACTCTCATATATTATTTTATGTTGTATAGTATATATCCCCACTCAAACATGCATACATTCAACAAGAATACCAAATCAGTCCATTTCTTTTTTCTTTCTTTCTTTCTTTCTTTCTTTCTTTTTTTTTATGGCAGTAAGAGGTAGAAATAGCAGAATTTATTTATACATCCAGTTATTTTTTTTTCTTATTCGGTCCATTTCTTATCCGGATGCTGTTTTGATTCATTCAAACAATGCTCCTAGAAAGATACATTTGGGTCCTTGATGACTACCAGATATGAAGTCAAAATAAATCATTTTGTCTCTCTGAGTATACATTTACACCTACAGAATAAAATAATTCATATATTACCTATGGGGTTGTAAGGACCTGATTAAAATTAAATTTTAAGTATGTAAATCAATAGGTAGATAGTGAAATGGCTCTAGGTCACCACCCAAATCTCATGTTGAATTGTAAGTCCCACGTCAGGGGAGGGATCTGGTGGGTATTCACTGGATCATAGGGGTGGATATCATGCTTGCTGTTCTCATAATAGTGAGCGAGTTCTCATGACATCTGGTTGTTTGAAAATGTGTAGCATTTCCCCTTCACTCTCTCTCCCACTCTGCCATGTCAAGATGTTCTTGCTTTCTCTTTGCCATTCCACCATAATTATAAGTTTCCTGAGGCCTCACAGCAATACTCCCTATAAAGCCTGCAGAACTGTGAGTCAATTAAATCACATTTCTTTATAAATCACCCAATCTCAGATAGTCCTTTATAATAGTGTGAAAATGAACTAATATACAAAAGTGGTACCAAATAAATGGGGCATTGCTATAAAGATACCTGAAAATGTGGAAGCAGCTTTGGGACAAGGTAATGGCAGAGGTTTAAACAGTTTGGAGGACTCAGAAGAAGACAGGGAGATGAGGGCAAATTTGAAATTTCCTAGAGACTTGTTAAATTGCTGCAACCAAAATGCCAATAGTGATAAGGACAGTGAAGTCCAGGCTGAGGTGGTCTGATGGAGCTGGGGAACTTTTAGGAGCTGGAGTAAAGATTACTCCTGCTATACTTTAGCAAAGAAACAGGTGACATTGTGTCCTTGCTCTAGAGATCTGTGGAATTTTGAACTTGAGAGAGATGATTTAGGGTAACCAGTGGAAAAAATTTCTAAGCAGCAAAGCATTCAAGGTATGGCCTGGCTACTTCTAAAAGTCTATGTTCATTTGCATAAACAAAGAATGACCTGAAACTAAAATTTGTATTTAAAAGGGTAGTAGAGCATACAAGTTTGGAAATTTGCAGCCTGACCATTCATTAGAAAAGAAAAAAAACATTTTCTGCAGAGGAATTCAAGGCTGTAGAAATTTACATAAGTAGAGCCAAATGTTAATAGCCAAGACAATGGGTAAAATGCCTCCAGGGCATTTTATATACCTTGTGGCAGCCTCTTCCATCACAGGCCTGGAGGCCTAGCAGGGAAAAATGGTTTCATGTGCCAGGGCCAGGGTCCTGTTGATCAGTGCAGCCTTGGAACATGGCACCCTGTGTCCCAGCTACTCCAATTCTAGCCATGGCTAAAAGGGCCCAAGGTATAGCTCGGGACATCGCTTCAGAGAGGGCAGGCCCCAAGCCTTGGAGGCTTCCATGTGGTGTTCGGCCTGCAGGTACACAGAAAGCAAGAGTTGAGACTTGGGAGCTTCCATCTAGATTTCAAAGGATATATGAAAATGCCTGGATGTCCAGAAAGAAGTATGCTGCAGGCGTGGAGGCATCATGAAGAACCTTTACTAGTACAGTGCAAAGGGTAAATGTTGGTGTTAGAGCCCCCACACAGAGTCCCCACTGGGGCACTGCCTAGTGGAGCTGTGAGAAGAGGTCCATTTTCTCCAGATCCCAGAGAATGGTTGATTGACTGACAGCTTGCATCATGTGCCTGGAAAAGCTACAGACATTCAATGCCCACCCATGAAAGCAGCCATGGGAGCTGTACACTGCAGAGCAACAAGGGAAGAGCTGTCCAAGGCCTTGTATCAGTGTGGCCTGGTTGTAATACATGAAGTCAAAAGCAATTTAAGATTCAATGACTACACTGCTGGGTTTTGGAGTTCCACAGGGCCTGAACCCCTTTGTTTTTGTCGATTTTTCCCATTTGCAATAGAAGCACTTACCCAACGCCTGTACCCCCATTATATCTTGGGCATAACTAACTTATTTTTTTTTATTTTACAGGCTTATAGGCAGAAGGTACCAACAAAACTGCTGGCATCCTTAGCTTGGGCTCCCAACCTCCAGAACTATGAGAAATAAATTTCTGTTTTTGACTGTACGTTCTCACTCATATGTGGGAGGTAAGCTATGAGGATGAAAAAATATAAGAATGATACATTGGACTTTGGAGATTCTGGGGAAAGGGTGGAGGGCAGTGAAAGATAAAAGACCACACATTGGGTATAGTGTATACTGCTCAAGTGATGGGGGAACCAAAATCTCAGAAATCACCATTAAAGAACTTATCCACGTAACCAAATACCACCTGTTCCCCTAAAACCAATTGAAATAAAAAGAAATAGTTCAAAAATAAATATTCTTTGAACTACCCAGTCTCAGATATTCTATTATAGCAGCACAAATGAACTGAGATTGGTAAACAGGTAAGTATCAGAGTAAAGGGAATGATTACTGAACTCTTATGACTTTGTTCAATATGATAAAATATGCACTATTTATCAGAATTTATTAGAAAATCCTGCAGTATACTTTAATATCTATACATATATGTATACCTGCAATTATCTGTAGTTCAACAATAGGAATGCTTGATATCCTATGTCTTGATTTACACATTTTTGAGGCTACTAGAATGCTAATAGAAAGGTGTACCTATATATCTATTTAAACTCCTAATGTTTGAAAGGATTTAAAACACAGTCCATTAGTAAAAGTTCTAAAATTTTAAGATCAAATACCCAATAGAGTCCAGAGAATAATGCCAAACTGTTCTGCAATTTTTGTCTTCAGCAAATGATACAAAGTCTGTCACTAAGGAAGAACATTGGGAGATTTCTTCTTTCTTGCTCCCTGTTTTATTCTTTCCCCCCTGTCCTACCCATTTGAGTTCTTCTCTCTCCTCTCAGCACCTAAGCAGATTTTCAGTGATTCTGCTCCTGTTTTTCACTCCTTACAGATAAAAATGAGGCACTAGTCTTCACGTCCAGCCTGCTGAAGCGAGAGATAAAGGAAACCACTTTTCAAACACAGCCTCCTGATGAGACATACACGAGACAAACAAACCTTTCTACTGTTACATTGAACCACTTCTTACACCCTTATTCCATATGCTAGTTTACTGACAAAGAACAGCTCTGTTTTCCTGGTTCCTAAGATTGCCAAGTTGGTTTTCAGCATAACTCTGGAGCTTAATTCTGATTACAAAATTTCTGTTAATTTCCTTATTCTTTTCAAAAATTCATTTTTATTATTCCAGGAATCAAGGATGAAAGTTGAGAGAAGGCAGAGTGGAACTCATTTCTCAACAAATACTATGCGTGACCCAAACTAATGACCATGATATCTTTGTCTATACAATACACAAATGATATCACATTCTTCAGTGCAATGCCAAGAGAATATTTTAATGACAGAAACAAAGGGACAGCATAAGTTATACAGTTGTACCTCAAAAATGGACAGTTAACCGATAACTTTTGTCAACAAATAGAAGTCCAATTCTGACCAAAATAGCTCATTTCCTCTCTTTAGGAAACCAATAATAATTTCACAGTGATAATTAAGTGATATAAAGAGAGATTTTTTTTTTTCTCTGCCACAGTACTCAATGGCCATTTGATGCCCTCATTTGATGGTCTGCTCAATCTTAAACCACACTTAACTCTTAAGAATAAGAGCCAGTTGTAGGGAAAGAAACTCTACCAGCTAAAACACTTTTAGGTTGACTAATCAATGAATTTTCATTCTTCTTTTAATAAAAGCATTTTCATATGTATTTTTATCTTCCCACCCTCAGAATATTTATTCAAGTAAGTACATACGTTTTTTATTGCAGTATAACAATTTATCTCAAACTTAGCAACTTAAAACAGTCATTTATTATCCCACAGTTTCTGTAGGTCAAAAGTCTGAACTCTGCTTAGCAGGGTGCTCTGCTCAGGATCTGACAAGGCAGTGCTCAAGGTGTGAATCAGAGCTGCATCTCCTCTGAGCCTTCAGATTCTCGCAGGCGGATATGGTTACTGGAATATTCTTTCTTTGCAGCTATATAACTCAGTGTGGCTTTCTTGTTCAAATTCAATGGCAGAGAGCATTTCTTATTCCTGAACCCTTTTTCAAAGGTTTCACCTGACTAGGTCAGGCTCACTCAGGATAATCCCACTTCTGATTGGCCCAAAGTCAGCTGACTACAGGAATCAAACTTACATTTGACAAAAGTCCAATTTTGCTATATGATATAATTTACTCACAAGACAGACATCTTCATATTCACAGGTTTGATACACCCTGAAGGAGAAGGGATTAAACAAAGCTTGTTCATCAGGGGTGGTTATCTTGTGGGACATCCTAGAATTCTGCATACCATATGGAGAAAAGTTAAATCATTTTAATAGATCAGCAGCAGAATTTTAGAGCAATCATTTGGCATTCAAGTGTGTCATATTTCCTAACTGTGAAACTGTTAAGAATGAATTTTAATTTTACATAGATTTATTTCATTCTTCAATTTTAACATAACCTCTCTCTTTTCCTCCTCTCTTCCATCACTCTCACCCCCTTACCAAAATCCTTGGTATCACTTATTTTCTCTCGCTGTGATCTTGAGCTACTGAGACAGTCAGTCTCCTGAGAGGGCAGGAACACTGGTGTTTTCAGGATCTGGCGCCAAGCCTCTGTCCTCATTAGTGCATGCAGTTGTGCATATTAAAAAAATAAATCTTTCCAGTGACTACTCCGTGTCAGAATTACCTTCACTTAAATGAAATTATAACATTACCTTGGGATTCCTGAAGAAAAAGCAAGGCCTCACTCCACTTAGATGTGTTCTCTCCACCAGCCTGTAAACATAATTTGGTACATTTCCTTTTCTTCTTCTTTTAAGAGATGTCCTTTCCAAAACAAAATAAAATAAAATTGTAAATGCTGACTTTTGAGAGTGTATTGCCTAAGTCTTTTCTATTCCAGTTTGTTTTAAACACCACCTTTATATTACTGCTTCCAAATTATAACCCAGATTTCCTCTGACCAAAAGTATCTAATAATTTGCCTAGTTTATTCAATTCCTGACTTCTCTGACATCTATATCGACAAAATGAATTCCTGAGGACTGAGAACTTGTTGTCCTGATTGTTTTGTATTCACAGATTTTAGCACAACACATACAGTATTGCTTGATACATACTTGCTGAATAGAATTGAATGAGACTGCCCTTTAACCTGGGATTCAATGTTCTCCCACACACAAGCATCCTGTATTTTCCAAAACTTTTCAATTCCTGTTCTTCTTTACTTCCTCAGTGGCTCTGTCAATCAGGGCTTTTGTCATGCTCATCATTCCTCTACATTTGACTTATTTCATCCTCAAAAAAACCATCACAAGTATAATGCCACTTGATCTGTGGAATCTTTGCTGAATCAACTCACTTCCTACCTCACAAGTTGGACATTATATTCCCCACCTTTCAACATTCATATGATTTTTTCTATACCTCAGTTATGAACCTTTTATGTTCTACCAAACATTGCACTTATTTATGCTGATGTTTTAGTCCTGCTACTAGATTTTACATTTTTTGGAGGTGATATTTTATCTCTCACAGTGTTTGACACACAGAGTAGACACTAAGTAAATAAATACTTAGTTAAAGAATGAAAAAGTCTTTATAAGTTATGGGCTATTATTTCTCTCCTCTTATTACCAAAATCCTTTGCAAAAGGTTAATATTTGGTGACCAATAATCTTTTGAGTTTCATCACTGTAATCTTGATTTCCATTTATACTTATCTAATTTCTATTTCACCTTCCCATCTTCATCACTACATATATTACAACTGAATAAATGAAGCCTTGTAAACTCTTTTTTCAGTATGTTTTAATCCTAAACAGAAATTGTAATGTATAACACTTAGGTCATTGGAAATTCCCTTGGCATATCGTATTATAATAACAAACGCATCTAAATAGGGTTATTCTCTTTTTAAACTTTATTTGAATGACATATCATGAGAATAGATCTAGAATATGTGGCATATACCACCCACATGGAAAATGACATCGTAAGATTTTATTTTAAAATACTTCATTCTTAAAATGTATTCTCTAATAATGTATAATTTAAGGATTATTTATAGAATAATTTATAGAATATTAGTGTCTAATAATAATAGAAGCCCTTGTTTAGACCCAGATGATTACTTTCCTTATTTTGACCTTACCATGTTAGATATTTAAATTTTGTTTGCTTTCTTTAGAGGGAACACTTAAACATTTAGCTTATCTAAAGTGCAATGACCTGAATAATAGAAGCTGAGAAAACTGCTAATTTATAAATTTTAAATGAATAAACCTTGTAAATGGATTATGGAAATTTAAACTTAACAAATCAGCTTTAATCATATAGTTAATGAACTTCCACAATTTAACTGTGAACTTTTCAAATGTTGGGTTATGTTTATAGTCAATGTCAAGTACACACAAGCCAAGGGTACATAAGAAACCATTTAAAGACCTTCATAATTTTTGGAGACTTTTAAGATTTCCTCTGAATTTATAAAATTTTCTGTACACAAGTCTAGTAATCAAACTTGTCTTAATCTATTTCATTTAACTTTTTATTAAGAACCTGATTCCTACTACAGAATAAGCCTTTTAAAGACAGAGATTTGTGCCTTGATATTCATTTATCTTTCTCCTGTTAGGAGTTACACACAGGGTAGTCAATAAATGTCCAGTGAATCAAACTGTAGAGTGTCTCGAACCAAACTACTATTTTTCAATATGATTACTACAGAGAACATATGGAGCATGAACTCTGCCCTAAAAATTCTCATCATCTCTCTCATCGTTACCTGTTACAGCATTTCATCATAGTTTGAATTCTTTATGTTAGAGGTTGGCTGAGGCCTGGAATAAAGAATGAAAATGTGACAAATGGCCACTTATTGGTCATTAACTATCATGATTAGAGCAGCCTGCTTCTCAGAGTGAGGGTCAGCATTAAGAAATGAAACCATCCTTTAGAATATCCTCTTGATAGGAATGAAGCTGTTCATTATCTGATCATTAGGGCCCATGCCAAATAAAACACATTTCTCACACAACCCAAGTCCTAATCGTTCATTTAGTCATTGGCTTAAATGGGAAGCAATGAGAAAAGCCAGTAACTAAGCAACTGTACAATCTTAAGATCTCCATCTAAGAGCCTGGTGATATTTAAAACTAACAATATCGCTAAGGATAAATAACCATTGAGTCAAATTTTGAGAGATTATAAGCAACACCCAGTGACATGTGGAAACTACATGTTATTGGTTAAGCTAAAAATTGTAGTAATTTTTAGCATGCTATCTTACCTCATTATTGAAATAATACATATTAAAGAGCCAGCTTCAAATACTTGAAAAAACAGTCCATCAACAAAATTACACTGGCATAAACTAAAGAATGTCATACATAAGAACGATGAATAGAGAAAGGGGAAAAACAGCAAAGGAAGTTGAAGACCTAAGTGAATCTAGAAATAACAGAAATGGGTAAAAACAGTGACAACAGTGACAAATAATCTCAATGCTAGTAGCAAGATATGACAAGACTCATTAAGCATTTGAAAATTCTGCATCCTCATTAAATTTTTACATTAATTTGTGACCTTGGAAATATCAGCTAAGCCACATGAGCCTCAGTTTCCTCAATAATAAGAACTGACTATTGCTTCCCCCATTACCTTATTTGGTGATTGGGAGGAATTAAGAAGCTTCTTTAGAACTGTAGAACTATTACTAGAAACAGGAAGGCCAGGAGGAAATACGATGACTTCACTCCTACCTCTGGCTCAGTTCCTTGTACTAATATCAGAAGGACAAGACACATTTTTTAGAAAAATTTGTATTAAAAAAAATCTTTGTATGTTCTTTGGTTCTTTGGCTTTTCTTGTTTAGGTTGTGTTCTCTAGAGGCTGAACTATTTTGTTTTCAAAAATCCCCTTAGTTTCAAAGTTACTCTTTTAAAATGTCCTTTTCCTCTTCTTTCTGTTAAGCTCTCCTCATCCTCCTTGAAGGTTATCTGTTGATCTTCAGAGTTAGAAGGATCCAGATGGGGGCCCAGGAGTTAAAAAAAAGAAAGTCAAAAACTTAAGGTTTTATTAAGAGTTTCTAATAATGATGAAAGAGTGCCTTAGTCTCCTTTAAGTTATTGTCTAGTCCTGTTCACAAGGTAGAAATGAGGTCATAAATTCAGAAATAAACCACTTCCAAAAATAAATAATGCATATTTCCTTTTATATCTTTCCAAAATCTGAGGTCTAAGGAAGAAGAACACAAAGACAATGGAATCCTAGTGGTCAAGATGCTGCTATCTAGTCTCAAGATATGTGAATTACTGACTCATTCCAGGGGCCTACAGAACATTTAACAATCCTGAGTCAATGAGGAGTGTTGGATAAGAGCATAAATCAGGGTATTGGAACCAGACCATGCAAGCCAGAATCAGAAGGAATCGAAGGGAGAAGGAAGGTCAAGGAGGTGGTTAAATTGAAAGATGTTTTGGAATTAGTTGTCAAGGAAATGTCACTGCAGTTTAAAGCATGGACATAAGTCAAAAATTGATAGAAAGGCAAAAATAAGGATCCAAAATATTAAAGGGAGAGGAAAAACAGCTGCTCAAAGTCTATGACAAATAAAAGAACCGACACTCCTCATTTAAAGAATTTTAAAAACAGGGAAGAGAATAGTTAAGAGGCTCCCAGAAGAAGCTAGGACCAATCTCATGGACCCTGACCTGTGCAATCACAAATGACAAAAGCTCCACGCTTGGTTTAGTCCTCTCCTGTTGCCATTTTGAAATTCTTACTTTTTTAGTAGACTCCATTTTTGTTTTTCAGTGGGCCCACAAATTATGCAGCCAGCCCTTCAAAGAGTCTTTGTTTAGAGGTATTCTTCTGCCATACATGTAAAATCCCTAAAAAAGCTTAGAGCTTCTTTGTGGCTATTACAATATCAGTTTACCACAGGCTTACAGAAGTGAGTAAATTCTCTTAATGGGGAGCAGATATAGCAATTGCAACAAAAATGGGCGACAGAAAATTGAGAAATAATATCAAGAAAAAACTGTTTAAAAAGTATCTTGATGTTTTCAAAGCAATTTCCTTCCTCTATAAACTATTAGTCACTTCTTTTTTTAATTTATAGTTTTTGTGGTTACATAGCAGGTGTATATTTTTACATGAGATATTTTGAAACAGGCCTGAAATGTGTAATGATTACATCATAGAAAATGGAGTCTCTATCTCTCAAACATGTAACCTTTGTGTTACAAGCAATCCATCCTCAATCTTTTAGTTATTTTTAAATGTATGATTAAATTATTCTGACTATAGTCCTTCTACTGTGCTATCAGATACTAGGTATTATTCATTCTTTTGACTATTTTTAAATCCATCTCCACCACTCCTTACCCCCATCCCCTTCCCAGCCTCTGGAACCATCCTTCTACTCTCTACATCAGTGCACTTCTTTTCACAAATATCCCAGGATACAATCAATAGGTTAAGAGCATTTTTTAAATATTCTTTTTTTCTTATTAAAACAAAAAACTTCCCAGACACAATAATTACACCACATTTGCACCGATTAAGCATTTTTAAACAGTTCTTATTTTATCAGCAAAACAATTAATTTGAAAGATATGAAGAGGTACAGTTTTTGTTATGACTTACAAACTAGTTGTCAGGGAAGGGAATTTAATGGATTTATTTTAACTCTTCTCTTTACATTTATGCCAATTGTAAAAAACTGATTGTGAAAATAATTATATCTCCATTTTGAGACGGCAGACTAAAGCAGATGATTTAAAGGAAAGTTTGTTGTATTGTTCAGAGATACAGCATAAAAT